TTCCCCAATGACAGCACTTGTTTTACTCAGCCTGTTGCCGGTCCGTGCTTGTCTACAGGGTTACTCTATATACCTCTTTCTTGAGCCTTGAAGGGCGCATATAAATGTGCTCAATACTCATGCATGTACCTATGTAGGTATTAGGTCGAAACAAAAACAAGGGCGCAGCGCCTCCCCCCCAAAGCAGATTGGACAAACCTATTTTCACATGCAAGGTGCTGGGTTGAATGTGATACTCAAGGTGTATATACTACACGACATGCACCTTGGAAACATGTGGAATGTAGGTTAAGGCACAACGATGCACAATAGTTTCATTTGATGTTATCATCGAGTTGGTTTAAGATCTCTTTATATAAGGTTTGGTTCAGGGTTGGCTTGGGGTTTGAATATCATCCCGATGATAATGCAAACCTTTAGATAGATATAGATAAATATGTATAGATAGATTTAAAGATATATAGATAATAGATATAGATAGATATAGATGGATATAGATAGATATATATAGATATAGATATAGATACAGATATAGATAGATATAGATAGATATAGATAGATATAGATACGTAGATATAGAAAGAAATAGATATAGATACAGATAGATGTAGATAGATATAGATAGATATAGATCGATTTAGATAGATATAGATAGATATAGAATGATATAGATCAGCCATAGGAGCGAGGAGCTCTAGGAGCCAGGAGCCATAGAAGCCATAGAAGCCGCAGAAGCCGCAGAAGCCACCAGGAGCCACCAGGAGCCACAGAAGCCACAGAAGCCACCAGGAGCCAGGACCAAAAAAAAAAAAAATCCTAAAAAAAAATAAATTCCCAAATTAAATTACCCTCCATCAAAAACTCAGCAAGAGAACGTGAAAGGGTGACAGTTGCTGAGGCAGTCTTGAGGAAGTATGAATGGAGTAGGTGACATGGTCTTTAGTGGCAAAAGAAATTCTTGTGAACGTTTCCAGACTGCAAAATAAAATGCGCAACCCACTTGCCAAACCCAAGGTCCTTCTTGGTAGTTGGAGTTGACGGACGTCCAAACTTGGCCACTGTCTTTGACAACTGCTCAGGAGAGGGTGGCGCAACATGGACAGCAGGCAAAGGAATCGCTTCCGGCTCTGGATGTGGAACCTTTGAAGACGAAGAAGGCAAAGGACCATCCAACAACTCTTCCACAGGTGCTTCCGCAACCTCTCTTTCGGGAGATTTGGTGTCCGTATTGAAGGATGCGCGCCGCCAGAGAGAGAAAGGAGCACAGAAGCCCACAGAGAAAGGAGCCCAAAAACCAGAGAACAGCTGGGGAAGTCCGTTTTGAAGGATTTGGGCCGCTCAGCCGCCAAAACAGAGCCTGGCAGGATTTCAAAACTGGGCACTTTGTGAAATTGACCGTGACAGAGCTCGGAAAAAACAAACAAAGAAAGCGTGCACAGACGAGCCGAGAATGCACAGACGAGCCGAGAGCGTGCACAGACGAAACATAGCCCCTGCCTATGCCCAACAAGCTGACAGCATGCACAGACAAGCCACCGATTTCACCCCTGACAATAAGCCCTGCTGCGCGCTGAGACGTCATTTTCATTGACTGGTGCCGGGAATTTAGCACCCGCCAGGCGAGAGCGTGCACACACAAGACCCAGGTGCACGTGCAACCGCGAGACCCACACGCGCATGCACAGGCGAGGCCGTGACCCAGAAAAGCTGCGTCGATGTCGCCAAGTGTCACGCCAGCCACGGATAAAACACGCAGCGTCAGACAGACGAAGGCGCATGCCCACAGCCAGCCCAGTTCGTACATGCCACACCTTCCACACAAAAGCAAGCAGAGTCAATGCCAACAAGTGCCACGCCAGCCACAGAAAAGCAGCGCCTATGTCACCATGTGCCACGCCTGCCACAGCATCAAAAGCCGCAATGTCACGAAGACAAATAGGAAGCATCACAGCCAGCCCACTTCGCACATGCCACGAATCCCACGCGCAATCAAGCAACGTCAAGATCACCAAGCACCACACGTGCCATACACACTGGCCGTCGATGTCACACAGAGGCACGCCTGCCACAGACACGATCCGCGGCGTCATAAAAAACACGGCTCGACTTCCGAGCCGCGCCCGCTACACAAACGCAACGTCGATGTCACCATGCACCACACAAATGGACACGCATTAGACACACACCGCGCGTCAAATCCGAGGGAAAACTACAGAAACGCAACGTCGATGTCACCATGCACAACACGTGCCACACAAGGGGACCATCGATGGCACCAAGTGCCACGCCTGCCACGCAAAAACACACCTCGCGTCACAACCGAGGGCACGCGTCATATCTGAGGAAACGCGTCCGCGTCATATCCGAGGGAAATTTCCGCGTCACAACCAAGGGGCTTTCCCTCAACAAATGGTAACTGACAATCGAAAAGTGACACTTGTTAATTGCAATTGGACATTGACATTTCCAAGTTGACAATTGATACTTGACCGTTGGAAATTGATAATTGATAATTGACACTTGAAATTTGATAGACTACTCGACAATTGATAACTGAGAATCGAAAATTGACACTTATTAATTGACAATTGAATATTGACATTTCCAACTTGACAATTGATAATTGACCGTTGGAAATTGACTATTGATAATTGAGGATTAAAATCTGATACACTACTCGACAATTGATAATTGACAATCGAAAATTGACACTTGTTAATTGACAATTGAAGATTGACATTTCCGAATTGATAATTGACCGTTGGAAATTGACAATTGACAATTGAAATCTGATACATTACTCGACGATTGATAATTGACAATCGAAAATTGACACTTGTTAATTGGCAATTGAAGATTGACATTTCCAAGTTGACAATTGATAATTGACCGTTGGAAATTGATAATTGACAATTGAAATCTGATACACTACTCGACAATTGATAATTGACAATCGAAAATTGACACTTGTTAATTGACAATTGAAGATTGACAGTTCCAAATTGGCAATTGATAATTGACCGTTGGAATTTGATAATTGATAATTGACAATTGAAATCTGATACGCTACTCAACAAATGGTAACTGACAATCGAAAAGTAACTCTTGTTATTTGACAATTGGACATTGAACTTTCCAAATTGACAATTGATAATTGACCGTTGGAAATTGGTAAGTGATAATTGACAATTGAAATTTGATACACTACTCGACAATTGATAATTGACTATCGAAAAAATTGACACTTGTTAATTGACAATTGAAGATTGACATTTCCAAATTGATAATTGACCATTGGAAATTGATCACTGATAACTGACAATTGAAATCTGATACACTACTCGACAATTGATTACTGACTTGTAAACTGACAATTGATAGCTGACAATCGAAAAGACTGACACTTGTTAATTGACAATTGAAGATTGACATTTCCAAATTGCCAATTGATAATTGACCGTTGGAAATTGACAATTGATAATTGACAATTGAAATCTGATACACTACTCGACAATTGATAATTGACAATCCAAAAATTGACACTTGTTAATTGACAATTGAAGATTGACATGTCCAAATTGACAATTGATAATTGACCGTTGGAAATTGACAATTGATAATTGACAATTGAAATCTGATACACTACTCGACAATTGATAATTGACAATCCAAAAATTGACACTTGCTAATTGAAGATTGACATGTCCAAATTGACAATTGATAATTGACCGTTGGAAATTGACAATTGATAATTGACAATTGAAATCTGATACACTACTCGACAATTGATAATTGACAATCCAAAAATTGACACTTGTTAATTGACAATTGAAGATTGACATGTCCAAATTGACGAGTGATAATTGACCGTTGGCCATTCCCATTGCCATTACCTGCCATGTCCCCAGTACTACCATTTTTCAGCGAAAGATCCGTGTCCCACCTCACAGGGATGGGAGACGTGGCTCGCCCCTTGGTGAAAAACCAAGCAGTTCTACAGTGACTGTTCTACTTGCTGGCTTTCAGTGATAAAATCTTGGCTTTGAAGACTGATATCCAATTTGACTATTCCGATTCTTCTTCGTATCATTACATATCTATCCTTACTCCTTACTCACAATCTATTTCATTGTGGTTGGTGCTTGGCCCATGTGCCTGATACAGGTACCGACCTGAACCTTGTCCGTTCGGTTTGAGGCTGTTTTTCCTATGAACCAGCCGAATTCTGGTACAATCGTGCAGATGAATGTTACACATGGCCCGTCACAAGAAGGCTCTTAGAAGAACATGGAAAAAGAGTACTTACCATCTTCTGACCATAGAAAAAACCAGGACAATACGGGGATCATGTCTGGTCATACCGGCATGTTTTCCGCAACCATCCATTCAGCTCCGGTTTCGATTCATATTACTGTTCTGAGTCATTCCAAAGGTGGCAAACGTAAAGGAGTTTCAATTCACATGGCTAATCCTAGAGTTGTTTACTCTGTGTCCAAGAAAATCATCAACTGCCGAAATGAATCCTAGTATATGGGTTGTGGTAGTTGAACAAAACTACGGGAAACCACCATTTTGAAGGTGTAAATCATCGAACCAAAAGAGCCGTGGTTTCCATAGTTATGTTGAAGTACCAGGGCATGATACAGTATGTAGTAGGTCCCATTGTAGCACAGTTTTCGTCGCTTACATCCACATGTTTCATGCTGAAATAGAAATTGTTTCACCATCCTCAACCATCATTCACCACATGTTCATCCATTTTCCCATAGTTCTGTTAGAAATAACCAGAAAATATACCTGATATTACATTCATAATAATATACCATATAGATCCTGATTTATCATAATTATATTCATAACATTATTACAAATGATTTATACCTGATAGATCATATCATATTCCATCCCTCAACTATGAATCACCATAAAATCCCATAGAATCCCCATGAAAATCATCAAGGACCTGCACAGCCACCGTGACCCACACCGTGGCCCCCGGCGCTCAACGTGCCCAACGTGCCCAACGTGCCCAAGGTGCCCAAGGTGCAGCGGGCGGGAGCCACTGGGACACGCTGGCGGTCCGCCTCACATGGACGCGCTGCTTGGAATATGGCAACAATCAATGGGGATCTTATAGGGATTCTATGGGATTTCTAGGGGATTCTATGGGATTCTATGGGATTTGATGGGATTCTATGGGATTTCTATTTGATTCTATAGGATTTCTATGGGATTCTGTAGGATTTCTATGGGATTTGATGGGATTCTATGTTGGAATATGGTGGATTCCTAAAAATGGAGCTACTCAAAAATGGATGGTTTGTACGGGAAAATCCATTTACAAATGGATGATCTGGGGGTACCCATTTATGGAAGCACCCAGAATCAGCGGGATACTTGGGGGTTAGACTTTTATGGGATTTTATGGTGCTTCATAGTTGGAATATACTGGTGTTGGAGGAATAGTTGGGATATAATAGGAGGGGTATTAATTGGGATACAACCTTTAACAAAAATAAACATATATTTGGAATATGGACCAATCCCCTGATATGGAATTTGTTGATCTCTTGGCATAGAATTGGGATTGATTTTTATGGTGGGATACAAGCATCAACAATAGGGACCTAGCTATAGTACAAAAATGGGTGCCAATCCCATCCCTCTAATATTGAATAAACCCCCCAACAGGGGCCCGCAAGTCATGAATGGATCCAATACTAAAGCCCCCAGTTTTCTTTGGGGTGTTATTTAGAATGCAATGCGATTGTAGGGAAATATCTATGCGAAAATCTAACGGGAATATCGATGAGGTGGTATGGGTGAACGTAGCGGCAAGAAGGTGCTGTGACCAATATGCTCTACAGCTCTACAACACCCGCAATGAGATATTGATTGGTTGCCAGCTCCCCTGCTTAAAGTTTCACTTCTAGTGGTTTATGTATACGTTACCCTTAAAAAAATAAGGGAATGGCCAGTAACTGCCACAATTACGATTGATACTCCTCCAGATTTCATAGATATGGGGGAATACAGTAATTCATGCGATGGGGTCAACAAAAATTGTGGGAGGTTTGCTGGAATATGTGGAGTCCAAAATTTTGTTTACTCACCAGCGAGTAAACACCAGAGGGTAACCTTTTGAATGGTCAAATAATTACCCATTTCCTTTAAGCCATGTGGAATTGCTTATTTGTGTGTGCTTCTACCCCATTGGGTAGTTATAGGTTCACCCCAACGAAAATATGGAAGAATATAGGTTCATCACGCAAAAAAAAAAAACATGGCACTGTGGTAAACCAGTAATAAACCATCTCAAAAATCACATCTTTCTATGGTGGTGCATAAACCATCCCCAAATGGTAGGTTTAGGTCATTTGGTTTCCCACATTGAATCATTTCAAACTTTACCCATAGCCATTCAGCCAATGGATTTTCCCACTTGAGCCATGAAACCTACCCGACCTACCCATCCCATGAAGTACTGATTGGTACATGGCTATCCCGTTCATTCTGGATTCTAATCCCCTAGTTGGGTGACCACCACCCCGACACCACTCAACAAACCGATCTCGAACCAGTGGTTAAGCAGATAATAACCCAACCAATCAAAAGATATCCACATGGGGTTCGATGGGTTGGTCTCCCTATGGTATACCAGTGAACCAATCAACAGAGCTATCAGCAGCCGCCCCTGCCGCCTCGTAGCGAATTCTCGGGATCACCACACGTCCACTGAGCACCTGAAGACGATCGAAATGTCAAACCCTGGAGCTGTTGGACCGAAGAAAGTGGCTTGAAACATGTGGAAACCACCGGAAAAACTCGGAAAAATCAAGCATCCCTTAGGGGAAGATGTTTCACCACATCTAGGGATTTCCTAACATTTACGGGGAATTCACCGGTGAATGGGATCCATTAACAACAAGAAGAGCGTTTTGACCATCAAGATTGGAATACTAAGGTCTGGAACAAGATTGGGGTACTCCAAAAGATTGGAGGCCAAAAGGTAACTACACAAAATGACCCAAATCGGGTCCCACATCCTTGCATATGATATCCATATTGACTCCAATTATTGCTCTTAAACAGGAAAAAACATTGAGAAAGTCCAAGTTGATCGCTTCTACTTTGATTGGTTTGTCTGAAAATAGGGTACCTGGGTACCTCCAAACTCATTGGCTAATCGGTTAATCCTCCATTGAATTAGTAAATAACCATAATGGCTACAGGATTAACTTAAATCCATTAAAGAAAATCCCCGAATTATAGCCATTAAATCCTATAATCCCAATTAATGGGTATCCCTATTAAATGGCTATCATTGGGGGGTTCATCCACCATTTCCAGACAGACCCACATGTGCCACCAACGTGCGCACCTGCAATGGCACAGTGGAGTGTTCCGATGGCACAGCAGCACCTGGGCGGGCGAGAGAACGGGATTCTCAAGGGAAAAAGAAGATGAAAAAAATCACTACAAAAAAAGTATAGGAATGAAATGATCAAAGACTACAAGACTATGAAGATCGAGAAATACAGAAATTATGTATATATAATAACCTATATGATAAAGTATACTGAACTGAAGAACCAGAAGAAACTATAAACTCATGATGTTCAGCTCAAAAAAAACTATAGGACTAAGCCTTGATCTTTGAATGGTATAAACCTGTGAAACAGGAGCGTTACCATCGCAGGATCATCCCCAAGACATCAAGGCTAGTGCAACGAAAAACCTCCCTAATCATCAACTAACCATGATAGATCAATTAAATCCACATATGTTTGATGGTCAAAACCTTACTCAATATCAATATTTGATGATTTCAATGGGTATGAATGGTCAAAACCATATGTTTAATGGTCAAAACTGTCAAACACATTCATAATTCGTGAATTTATAGGATTTTATCAAGTAGATCCTCATATGTTTGATATGTTTGATGTTTAAAACCCCTATACATCATGGTGATCTTCTCCATTCCGGTGGAACTGGGTCTGCCCCAAAAATAGTTTAGGGTTCAAATCATATTCATATTGTATGTATATATATATGTATGAGCGTGTGTGTGCGGGTATGTATATAGTAAATATATATATATACTATCTATGATATATGATCTATAATAGATATATATATATATATATGTACGTGTATATATTATATATAGATATATGGGTGAATTTAAATATTTCACTGACCTGAATTAAGGCCATTTGGGGATGATTTCCCTTATTAACTATGATTATAGTGAGATCGCAGTGAGGTCGTTATAATTTACTCAGATAATTATACATATATATATATATATATTATATATCCGCCAAAATTCCAAGAGTTAGCCTAGTGAAAGAGACCAGTTTCCCGTACAAAACACATCAATCTCAATTGGTCTTGCTTCACTCCTGGGTCTTGCGAGCTAAGTCCCGGGTTCAACTGTTGTTGATTATCAAAAACAGACAAAAACCACAAAAAAAAACAGAGAAAATAATATACAAATATATAAATATAAATATATATATATGTATACAAATAAATATATATATATAAACATATATATATATAAGTATATATATATTATATCTTGGTTGTTTTTACAAGGCCTCTAACATATGTCCCCGGGAATATGTCAAGAATTGAAGAGAATTATAAATTAGCTAAACTCAAAAACTCGCTGCCGTGGATATGTTGAAAACCGCACGAGGGGTTAGCGGGGGGGCGAACGTAGGGGCGAACATGCGGGCGAACGGGTGGACGAACGTCGCCCGCAGCGGGGGGGCTAGCGGGGGGGCGAGCGGACGGGCGAACGATTCGACTAGTCTTGTTTTGCCTGGTGAGAATTAGTACAGTCAACCTGTGCCGAAATTATTGTACACCTACTATACAACCCAAGAATACTGGTACAAAGTTGTTGGTATTCGAAACCCGTGCAATTTTGAGGGCGGGCCCACCCCCTTGAGGGCGCATGAAGGGGTCGCACGAAGGGGTCGCACATACGCATGTACGCACGTACGTACGCATGCACGCACGCACGTTCATGTGCATGTGCGCACGCACGTTCACATGCATGTTCAGAAATAAGGTTACCTTTAAGGTTACCTTTTATTTAAAAGGTAACCTTATTTCTGTACGACCCTAAGCCTCCTAAAGCATATTTAGTATTAGAAGGTCACTTTTCAAAGGTAACCGTATTTCTGAACATGGGTCTGAACATGGGCTTGAACATGGGTATGAACATGGTACCTACGTACGTGCATACGTGCGAACGTACGTGCGTACGTCTGTGAGTACGTATGTGCGTACGTGTGTGCATGTGTGTGTGTTTGTGTGCGTGCACGTACGGCGTATGTACGTGCGTACATTCGCCCACACGTTCGCCCCCCCGTTCGTCCCCCCGTTCGCCCCCCGTTCGCACGTTCGCACCCCCGCCGTACCCTCGTTCAGATGGCCGTACGCCATCGTACGCCTCCCCACGTTCAATACGTCTAAATAACTTCAAAAACAGGCCGCAGCGACCTTTTGGGTTTGGCTAAATTATAATGGTTTTCATTACCTCAATTAAAAACAATATTAATTATACTTACTTTTTACAATTCTTTACGTTTCTTTCCAATTCTTTTCATTTGTTCTTACAATTCTTTGCAATTCTTTTCAATTCTTTTCATTTTTTCTTAAAATTCTTTCCAATTCTTTTCAATTCTTTCCATTTTTTCTTACAATTCTTTCCAATTCTTTTATTTTTTTCTTAAAATTCTTTCCAATTCTTTTCAATTCTTTTCAATTCTTTCATTTTTTCTTGTATAGATTGGTTTCACAATTTTGTTGTTGATATCATGTAAATTTGATATCATATATAGATTTGGTTGTTGATATCGTTGTGAAACCAAAAGGCATTTTTTGGTGATGTAACCCCAAAAATCCACAAAAGGACTAAATTTTTAGGGTAATAGCAAAAGGGCTAAAACAGGAAGGTTACGGAGACTCAAGGTACTCTCGGTTGTTATAGGAAATCTTCGTATTGGTGAACAGAGATAGTGCCGCAGCCTTTTTTGCCATTGGCCAGTGAAACCATGAATCCCGAATTCGCGGCAAGCTTGTAGGAAACCAACCTGCCAAGCACCCTCCAAAACAACCACGACCGCAGGCAACAAAATCAAACAACACAAAGTTGTTACCTTATCCCCCAACAAATTATGCAGACGAAAGGCTGCACAAATGAAGGTTGGTACTGAGATGTACTGAGCATGCGCCGGGCTGTCGTGGAGGGGTTGGCTGCCGGTGAAACGGCTTGCCGTGGGAGATGGCGGAAATGAGATAAACAAATGATAATAATGTGGTGCCGGGACTTCAACCAATCATAATTTGAATGAGCCTCTTTGCCCCTTGTCGAGCCAAGGCAGTGTTGAAAAGCCCGCTCCACAGAAGATGACATGACGAAAAATGATTTCTTTTCCAAAACTGCCTGGACCCGACAGGGGCAATCTCCCAAGACGGACAAGAGGCCAGCGCGAGGGGGGTGTTCCCAAACATCTGGAGGCACGCCATCTCTAAATGCAAAACTGAATCCGTGCAAACATCTGAATAGCATAACGTTGTCCCAATGAGCTAGTGTGAAATCATAAATTCAACTGTGATGGCGTGCCTCGTCTGGGTTAACTCCACCCCCCGGCCACGGCAGCAGAATAAACCGTGGTGCTGGAAGGCAAAATCAATTGAAACAAAGGCTCGTTGGAAAAACGATCAACTTCAGCATCAGTTTACTCTACCGCCCAGCCCCCGAGGGTTCACGGAAAGAGGGGAACAAACATCGTTTCGAAATCATACAACAAATAGTTTCAGCTTCCGTGAGCCCGAGAAAAATATGATTATAATTATGAGTGAAACGCAAAACATGCAGTGAAACCATGCAGGTGGGGGTTGCTGTCAGTTGTCCAAAACTAGCGTTCAAGAACGACAAATGAACGATATCCAGCACAATTGCGTCTCAAAATGCAACATGCAACGCCCCCATAATGCAGTGAATTCAGTGAAACTCTGGAGGCAGACCGGAGACATTGGCCGCAATCACCGCAAAAAGACATGAATTATATACTGTAACGGGCTGGCACATCATAGAAACACATTGGCTTTGATTTGGCTGGTGATTCATGGGACTTTCGCATGAACAGCTGAACAGGAAGGGCAAAGGAAATGACTCCTTCCACCAAGTCACAACTTGCACAAGCTTTGTTACGGTCGGTGTGGGTCCTCTGCCAGGGCGCAGAGCCCCAGAAAACGAAAGCGTCATCCAACCGGACCCCGGACCCGAAGGAGAGATTCACCTCATGTTCCGCATTCATGCGGATGCAAGATCTATGCTACCCTGGACGCAGCTCAACCAAATGACTCCGGCCTTACCGGCGGCCTTTTGCCTTGGCCTTTGCCTTGGCTTCTGCCTTGGCCTGTGCAGCCCTCCTTTTCCAAGCCCGCACCAAGCGGGCGTTCCGGGCCATGAAGGCCCGGGGGCTGTGGTGGCGACGAACCTCGCGCAGGCACCGGCGGGCTGCTTTGTGCAGTCACGCTTTCAGGCGCCGCACCCGCAGCAGCTCTAGCACGTGGCCATCCACTTCCTCCTTCGATGTGAATCAGGGGGTCCAAGAGGTCTAGAATTATACAGATAGGCATAGCTAGATCGTAGAGGGATACACACACATATAAATATAAATATATATATATGTGTGTGTATATGTTGATATTTACATAAACAGTATATCTACTGAAGATCCCAGAGATATATATATATATATACACACAGGTATCTATATATCATATATCTATAATAAATATGTCATAATATACAGTATCCACTAACTCCTGTAATGATGACAAAAATTCGAAAAAAACCGTTGTTCCAACTGAGGTCCCTGGCTGCTCCGTTGTGAGCTGGCATCCTCATAGCTGGAGGTATTGGATGAATCTTCTCGTCATATCATATCGTTATTCCATGGCTATGTACCAAATTATATGGATCTCTCACCTCTTCCAATGGTCAGAAGATCCATCTCATGAAATACTGTACTAAGAATAGTTGGTTGAAAACGGTTTCCCTACTATAGCTTAGTTCATAATCACTGATAAAACCACTTCGTATAATTCCCAACCAATCAACAAATGTTCTGCCGCCCATGGGTAGCCCATGGCCCCGGTGGCCCCGGTCCTTCAGCGACTGAGACACTTCCACTTGGCCCTGCCGTTCCAAGTGATTCTCCAAACGATTCAGCCTCCATGGGGCGATGAGGCGATGAGGATTTCAAGATTCTGATGGGTTGAAACTGGTAATGAACAGGTTACCATACAAGGTTGTGCCCCATAGTTAGCTAAGTTGGTTTATAAGTCCAATAACTATGGTTTATGGTAAATATATCAATATTTACTATGGTTTATAAACCAACTTATAACTGGGGGGGCACAACCTTGATAGATACATTTACCATGATACATAGAATAACATGCTGAACATTTACCATAGAAACATGTTCACCATAGATCATGATACATCTAGCATGATCTACATTTCTATGGCTTTAGAAATCGCTTTAAAAAGCCATCTAAGTGTAGACATATCATGAGATATCCGCTTGCTCAACCCAAACATTCCCAGCAGGGCACCCCTTCAGAGGTGGCTTGTGACCCTTCTTCAGGTGGAACAAGGGAGGTTGATGTTGCACCAAGATCCAACTGGTGTTGACTGGTCGCTACTGTGTCGCGAAGATCATGAGCTTATACTTTATACAGTAAATCTAAGACTTGTTTTTGAAGTGACCCATCCATCCATCCATCCATCCATCCATCCATCCATCCATCCATCCATCCATCCATCCATCCATCCATCCATCCATCCATCCATCCATCCATCCATCATCTAAGCCATCCATCATCTAAGATCCAACATGCGTGGCGTCAAATTATCTGTCTTTGTCGGTTTAGTCGGCGAATGGGTCACAGATATTCAACCAAATGTCTGCCAAAATCATTCATCCACCGGAATGGGTCACTTTGAAAATACCCTCCGGTAAACTAACATAACTATGGAAAATCACCATTTTTAATGGGACATTTCACTATAAATGGTGATTTTCCATAGCTATGTTAAATTACCAGAGGGTAACTCTCAACAAAACTGATTCCCAAATGGAATGGCTAACCGAAATGTGGCTAATGGAAATCCCGCGGGTATCATCAATGGATATATCACTTGTTTCTGGCAACATATGGCAACTATGGCGGGTAATCTGTGCTCTCTGTTATGGGCTTTTCTTTGGCATGATTGGTCACTTGTATTTCTGTAAATCACCATGCCCAAAATCCAAGATTTCGTGGTTTAGTTTTCTCAAGAACCAAACCCATATGGTTGTATAAGACATGCCCCCATTTGTTATCAAACATATGTATATATATATATCCTTCGGACAAGTTACTTTCATTCACAAGCCTGAAAATATCTTTAAATGTGTGCCCATCATTCACCCGGGCCAGTTTACAATAATTCCCAAACCTAAAAGAAACAAACATGTTTTCTCACCAGCACAAATAGAGATTTAACCAGTGGAAGATTGATTTTCATGTCTGATTTTAGGCAATTTTGGGATGATTCTCACGACCCCTGGAGCACCTTTGCTTCATCTCTTGGTTGTCGAGCTGGAGTCGTTCAAACGCCTGACACCCCTTGCAGTTGCAGACCCCGAGTTGTGAAGCACCAGGCAGTTAAAGCCTCAAAATATGGTCATTTCAATAGATAAAAATGATGATACACCAGGAAATGTGGTGTATTGGAATGTATTGAGATGGCCATAATACACCATTGGAATAAAATACACATTTTCAATACACCAGTGACTCCAGTGGATGGAATGTGGTTTTCCCCGAAACTTTGAGGGAAAAAATGGAGAAAATGGGTCAACCTTGGGCACCAAAAGTGCGAGAAGATCATGAATTTCCAAGGTGTGAACTTCAGGGATCTCTCCTGATACTGCTCTTCTTTCGTGGGTGGTTATTTTACAAAACAAATAACCATCATATTGTAGTAACTATATGGGTATGGGTCAAAATTAGGTACCCCAATGATTGAATGGTTAATACTAAACTAGACTAACATCTGTGGTCCCCTAGGTCTTCCATTTTGACCCACATCCATATTCATAGGCCCCATTTCACCTATTTTATCATGACGACCCCCAAGGAGGGTTTACCCTGTGCCTCTGATCAACCCCAACCCCAACTCACCTCCGGCACAGAAAAGGAACCTGCGGCTGGGCTGCGGCTGGAGCCAGCCCTGCAGCATCTTCGTCTCCATGGTATCATAGGTTTTGATCCCCCTGTGAGTACGCTTGAAACAATTCAACCAAAGTTGGATACCCTCTGGTTATTTGACATAGCCATGGAAAATTGTCCATAGAAATAGATGGTTTACCAATTAAAAATGGTGATTTTCCATGGCTATGTTAAATAACCAGAGGGTAACATTCAAGACAGACTGGAAACAAACACACGTTTTGAAAATATGAACCAGCGGGATTGGGAAACCCGAAGAAATTCAATTGTGAACGTTGCAGTAAACACACGTTGCAGTCTGCTCCACCTCTTTAAAGAAGTAACAGTGACTTGAAGCATTCCAGTCATGGCTGTTCGTTGCGAACCCCTTTTGAACATCCATTTCTTGCCAAGAAAAAACATCCAACCAGTTTGTATACCTTCAATTTCGTCGGAAATCATGGAAAGTTCCCATCGGAAATGTCAGGTCCCCCAGCAAAAAATGAAAACTCCGACCAAAATCCCAAGTTGAACACCTGGAGAAAAAAATATCCGGGCCAACCTGAAGCACTTCGTCTTAACTCCGCAACCGTCTCCTGGTGTTTCGGCAGGCAACCAGCCATAAGACGCCACGAATAATACGAATGATACGAAGGGTAATGATGACAAATGTGAATGACTGGTATCAAATGTGACTAGTATGTAATGTGATGTAATGTGATGCTATGTGATGTGATGTGATGTGATGTAATGTGATGTGATGTAATGTGATGTAATGATAACTGTTGTGGCATGTTATGTTATGTTATGTTGTGTTATGAAATCTAATGAAATGTAATGGAATGTAATGCAATGTAATGCAATGTAATGCAATGTAATGCAATGTAATGCAATGTAATGCAATGTAATGCAATGTAATGCAATGTGATGCAATGTAATGCAATGTAATGCAATGTAATGCAATGTATGCATGCATGCATGCATGTATTTATGTATGTACAGATAGCTAGCTAGCTAGCAGCTATATAGATAGATAGATAGCTAGCTAGCTAAATTAGCAGCTAAATAGATAGATAGATAGATAGATAGGTAGATAGATAGATAGATACCAAGGATAATAATCATCGTAAGGAATAACAAAACAGTTCTTCTAAAAAATATTAATAAATGCAATAGCAATTAAGTGGCATCGTTTACAATTACAATAGCACTTACAGGAACAATAATAACAACAGCAACATCAAGACAACAAGTACAAAAAATGTGTCGAAAACGATACAACTAATAACGGCAATGAACCTGAAAAATGATAAATATCGCTGACGACGAAAATATGAAACCATCGATAGTCGACAACAATAATAACAATTACAACATAATTTCTATACTGTTGAAATGTCAGTTCCACGTAAATGAAAAACATATCTCAATATTACCAATCAGAAAAGTACCCTCTGGTAAACTAACATAGCTATTGAAAATGGTGATTTATAGTGGGTTTTCCCATTAAAAATGGTGATTTTCCATAGTTATGTGAACGTTTACCAGAGGGTAATGTGGCTTTACTCACTGCCACCTATCAGGATCCGCCTGCAGAGCTGACACAGTCTCTCCAATACATTGGGAGAGGTGATGCGCCCTGGGCGAAGATCGTTGGATTTCTTCCCAAGTTCTGGCAAGTCTAATTGGAATATTATGATGGAACATATTATATTATATTGTATTATATTATATTGTATTATATTATATTATATTATATTAATTATATTGTATTATATTATATTAATTATATTGTATTATATTATATTGTATTATATTATATTGTATTATATTATATTATATTGTATTAATTATATTATATTGTATTATATTATATTATATTATATTGTATTTTATTTTGTATTGAATTGTATTCTATTCTATTCTATTATACTATATTATATTATATCATATATATATATATGTCCATTATGATCATCTCAGTTTTAAGTATCATTTTATCAGGTAATTCCCTTGATAGCAACTGGCAGCAGCTCTTTGTTGAAGGCTTCCTCTGCAAGGGAGTGCAGGCCAGAGGTTGCTATGGCTGTAACCATGGGAATTTAACCCATCCAATAGTTGGTATAGATATAGATATATATATATAATATATAGTGTGTATATTATATATATATATATAAACCATTATAAACCCCTATAACTATGGTTGAAATCGATCCACTTCTAACTGGAACTGCACATCTTCGTGCCCCATTTTTACTACGTTGAGTCGCTGCAAACATCAACCCATGGGTGACGACTTGACCCGGTCATCGGGTCATCCCTTGCTGACCATGGACATCTCTGATTTACCCTCTGGTAAACTAACATAGCTATGGAAAATCACCATTCATAATAGGTAAATCAACTATAAATGGTTCATTTTCAATAGCTATGTTAAATTACCAGAGGGTACACCAAAAAACTCCCGGCAATGTTTGGTCCTCGAATTCTCAAACTCAGAAATCACCCAACATTTTTCTTGGAGGTATCAGAAAAACTCGACATTTCGGGGATAATCCCATCCTTCCCACCCTAACCCCCGTCGGTAATTTTTGTCCGCCTCTGGAGCGACACAGCCATGACCTGCTCCTCCAATGAAGAATTCATTTCATATGGGGATTCCATCCACTGGTTTACTGGTTTAGGACCCTCATATTTTCCCATTAAGATGGCCTATTTGGGGGGAAACACCATTAAAAAAGACACACCTACCCTCTGGTAAACATACAAAAAGCTATTGAACATGGCCATTTATATATAGTGAGTTTTCCCATTAATAGCATGGTGGATCTTTCCATAGTTTTTTGTATATGTTTACCAGAGGGTAAGTTCAAAGAGCCAATTTATGGTGATTTAACGAGAAAAAAAAAGTTGGATTCAGGAAACATGGATGAATGGGTCTGAGAATGGGTCTGTCTGACCCACTAGTTATGCCAATTTAGTAAGGAAAATGATAAGAAACCATTCATTGCTTGAATCAATGGGAATTCCAGGATCCTAAAATGGAGGTACATTAGTACCATATGTTTGGCCATATTTTGTGGGGATATTCTCTTACATAGGCCTTACATAGGCCTTATATATGGTAGGTACCTCCAATCTAGGTTCCTGAAATGGCCATTGGTTGAAGGGAATGTTCACAGGATATCCCCACAAATCCTGGAGATTCCCTCTCCATTCTGAATAGCTGCTTGTCACTATCCCCAGTTGCATGGGTGAATAATACCAATACATGGGCTGTTGAAAATTGCTGGGCTACCATTTTTGCAGCAATTTGTACCGGAAATGTAAATTAACATGTTGAAATCCAGTAATCCAATGAAATTCTTGGCTTTCCTTAGGTAAATGATCTACAAATGGTGGGTTTTTCTATATGTGACGTCATGTTCCATCTGGGTGTATCAATCCGGGGGTGACATCGACTATAGAATGTGGGAGTTGCCATAGAAACCAAGGGTTGCTGGCCAGTTTTTCCCCAAGGTTGGAATACTCTCCGGCAACAAAAAACCTGCCAATGGCATAGAAAAATATGCCCATCTGCTGATAACCCGTAGGTTGCTGCGATCGACCCAAATCAGTGAGTTTGTTCAGTGTTCTCAGCCATGTTTGATCATCCCATTCTTTGTCGATTGCCATTAAATCACATTAAATCCTATAATTCTTGATAGTAACTACCCTCCATTTCCATTGCCATGTTGACACCTTAATGCCTAAGGATTGGCAATGCTTTTTTTGGAATCCAGTCCTAAGGATTCCTTTATGCCAAGATAGTAATGCCAAGATAGTGGATATATAACCAGATTATGCTATATGATAGCTATGATACCCTAGTTATGGGATATTCTCAGTTGGGTTTATCTGAAAATATGGGATTTTCACCCCAAAATTATCGCCATTTTTTCTTGGGATGATGATCATTATCAGTTTATATCCATTGGGTTTACGATCTGGATATGACTAACATAGCCATGGAAGCCATGGCCCACAGAAATAGATGGTTTACCTATTAAAAATGGGTGGATCTTTCCATGGCGAACTGTTAGTCATAACCAGAGGGTAGGGGTACACTATTTTCAGACAAAGCCAGTTGGATGTTCACCATTGTGTTATATGGATGGTTCTAAAATGTTTATAAAACATACACATGTTATCAGTTTATATCCATGATGTTCACCACTTCCTCCACCCCAGGATGCTCCTTCAGCAAGACCTCTTCGGCTTGTGGCACTTGTGGCACTGGCACCACGGGCACCACTGGCGGCACCTGACAGGCGACCATGACTTAGAAGCAGCTTCTAAGCTACTCCAAGTTGGTTGATGATCTAAGTTATTGATATATGATATATTTGTGGTTATAAGTGGTTGATAATATATCATAATCATATACCAATCATATAGTATGATATCAGTGATTAGTTGTGTAATAGAACCACTATGTATATAATTTGTGGTTCTATTAATTTCTATTATAGTTATATGATATTGCACTACAATTTATAAATTTGACTAGCGTCCAGAGATCGAAACAATTCGTTTATGTCGACTTAAGCAACTCTACATCGGGTTGAAACACTTTTTAATGGTGAGTTTACCCGAGAAAAATGGGGGCTTGAAGTGTTGAATCCACCTTTTTTTTTGGAGATTTGACTCGACCAATCAAAGTGCGTAAATACAGACAAATAATTGGACGGTCCACAATTGAGGATCCGGGAAATAGCTGAAATCACCACCTCACCCCCTACCCTAGGGGATTTCTCCCCGACTAAAGTCCCTCACATGAAGCTGACAGCTGGGTTTGTCTGAAAAATTCGGGGGAGGCCACATTCCATCCACGGGGTCATCATGATTTTTTCATAGATCAGCTAAATTAACACATCCAAATTATCCCACATTAAGTAATTATATAAATTGATTAAACACAAAAGGCATTTTTTTGCACATTAAAATGGCCATATGTTGGTGGCATAGCCCTCATTTTCAAACTAAGCCATAGCCTTTGCCGCCTAGGAGAGAAAATCCCATTTAGTTGTTGGCTTTAGGAACCTATTTGGGGGGTTCCATAAATAGGGTATCCCCAAAATGGTTGGTTCATAATGGACAATCTTATTAAAATGGATGATTTAGGGGTACCTGTGATTCCTGAAGTTGTGTGACATGTCAAGCTTGGTTCATCTTGCAGCTGCCGCTGCACTTTGGCTGGAGAGACTCGAGGGGTTACGTCGTGCCATGCATTCTGGAAAAGGGTGCGTACGGTGTGCGATCGGAAGGTCGTGTGTGACGTTTGTTTCGAGCCCAAGTTCACTAAGTTCATAGCTGGTGGCGCGGAGCCGGGTTTTCCGGCCAGGGAAGTTTTTCGGCAGCCATGTCTGGTGGGAGACAATGGCAAGGTCGTCGAAATCAAGATGATGAGGAAGAAGAAGAAGATGAATCAAATGTTAGCAGCAGCGCTGGCAGGACGAGCAGGTCAACAACCAATGACCACAGAAAGGGCGCAGTTGGTCCACCTCCATCATACGATGGCAATCGTGAAGCTGGAGTTTTTGAAGAGTTCAGGATCAGAGCCAAGTTGTGGCTTTACTCAACCAATGTGGAGAGCCGTGCAAGGGGCCCTAGGCTATTGCAGGCCTTATCAGGCAAGGCTTTTGAGAGCGTACGTCATCTCATAGATGATGCTGACTGGTTGGAGGCAGTCCACAATGGAGAGCAGTTGCTGGAGCTCTTGTCGAAGCCTGAATACTATGGCAAGGAGGAGTTGGAGAGTTTGTATCAGTCAATGCACAAGCTTTTCTACTCTGACATGAGAAAAGATGATGATGACCTCCCAGCATTTCGCTCTCGTTTTGAGCAGGCCGTTCGAAAAATCAAGAAGCATCGAGTTGAGCTACCACAGGAAGCACTTGGATTCCTGTTCCTGAAACAATCTAGGATCAATGCAGAGTCCTTTGAGCGCCTCATCACCATCACCAATGGAGACTTGAAGCTGGATGCTGTTGTGGAAGGCTTGAGACGTCTGAAAATGAAGCTTTTGGACGGTGACGAGGCCACTTTGGCCAAGAAACGTCATCTGTGGGTCCAGGATTCCATAGATGATACAATGCCAGAAGCTCCAGGTGATGTTCACAGTGATGATGAGGACATTGAACTCATCGAGCAAGCCCTTGCCGATCTGGACGGAGACGATGTCGTTTCCAAAGCATCTGAGGTTAGTGAAGATGGTGCCAAGGAGATCCTGATGACGCTGATCAAACAGAAGATCCAGAAGCCCATGTCGATGTCATACCGTCAGGTGCAGCAGCAGAAAAGAGATGTCAAGACCGCCCGAGGGTTTCGTCCAGTGAATAGTGGGGGTAATAATGGTAGTGGGGTAACCATGAGGAGGGATCTTCAACAACTGAAAGCGGTGACCCGTTGTAAAGCATGTGGAGAACTAGGACATTGGCACAAAGAATGTCCTCAGAAGCAAAACAATCAGAGCAAGATCCCGAACAGCTCATCCGGAGCTGCCTCAGCCAGTGCCTCGCATGGATGGTGGTCTCTTGTACAGCCAGTAGGAGAGTCAGGTACCACCCAAGATGCCAGTTCGTCCAGCCGGTTGCAATCCAGTCATGAATAGGAAACATGTCCCATGGTCTTGTGGACAACTGATGTTACGGTGAATAACAGCAGTAGGACTATGGGATTTGGCAATTTTTCACCCGATATGCAGAAAGCAATCCGTCATGTTTGCCGAGTGTTTCCAGCTGGATTTGCAGCATCCGATCGTAGCTATGCACAACCCCTCGAGTCACAGCACTCAGTTGACGATGCAGCCGATGTAGCGAGCCGTGAGCAACCATTTGCCACTTATCACTACTGCACCAGAGAGAGCTATGCAGTGATTGACACTGGATGCCAAAGATCAGCCATCGGTAGGAATACCCTTGATAACATTGCATCCAGACTCCCAGCCGAACTTCCAATTAAGTTTGTCAATCAGAAATTTAGGTTCTCTGGTATTGGAGGTGAAACAGTGACAACTAGGGTTGCCTTAATCCCCGTGTGCTTCGGGCAGAGACCTGGAATGGTCAGAGCAGCCGTGTTGGAGGACACTCCAAACGCTCCTTTTCTTTTGTCGCTGCCGATCCTGAAGGCCTTGAATACCAATTTGCAATTGAGTGAACAGAGTTTGCAATTTCAAGCCATCAATAAAGTAGGTAGCATGTTTTACAATGAAAAGGGTCAACTCTGCCTGAGACTTTTTGACTTTGAAGCCATGTCAACTTGCCCGAACGAAGCTTCAGATCGTTGGCAGGTCAGAAAAATCATCGGTGATGAGTGTCACGTGTTCATGTTGCAGTCGTCAAATGAGTCTTCAACTTTTGGGAATCATACTGAAATCAATCAAGACAATCCAGAATCATCTCAATGTCAAGAGCATCATGATCAGGGAATAGCTAAGGGTAGCTATGAGACTAGTCATGCCTCATGCTTTGATCACGACAGTTTTCAGCCGTGTGCTGTCAGCCCTGTACAGTTTTTCCAGAGTATCCAATCAGGTTCAACATGTCGCAGTTTTGAATCAGCAGGTGTCAGTTGTGAATCCCAGTTGCCACGACAAGCATCGAACTTTGCAGAGACTCCAGTGACCAGTGCCACGCCTTGCGGTAGTAGTCATGGAAGCCAGCACCAATGTCCGAGCCAACAAGAGGGCTTGCACGTCTCATGCCGAGACAGAGCCACAGTATGTGACCACATGGCTTCGCATGTGCAACAAGCTACGCCTGCAAGAACATCTTCAGACGACTCTGAAGTGTGCCGTGGGATTGGCCATTCCATTGATGAACTTGCTGATGCGAGTACTGGCAATGGTGATGCAAGTGGCCGAGATGGAAGAGATCGACACAGTTCAAGATATGATGAGTCAGATGATTCAAGACAAGAAGAAGCAGGAGAAGGGTCACAAGTTGAGCAACCGCTCAATGATGAACCTGAACAAGAGTCAACAGGGACATCCCAAAAACAAGTCCAGCAGCCTGGGCAGTTTTTCAGTGGTGAGTGCCGAGACAATGGACACCATGATGTCACACCAGAGTCAGGACATGGAGTATCCAGGCTCATCAAGTTCCAAGCAGACCATGATGCAGGGCAATGTCAAGCCGGACAAGTGCTACTGCGGGATGAAACCCGTGAAGTACACGTGCAGGAAGCAGGGTCTCAACTACCTGCGACAGTTCTATCGATGTCCACAGGAGCCCAACAGCCAGAAACAGTGCCACTTCTTTCAGTGGATTCGGGAGACCAAGAGCGAGGAGTACGAAAGGCTGTATGCTACTTCACCCAGCAATCAGAAGCAGCCTCACACAAGCAAGAAGTTCGACAAGCACTACGTCGAAGAATTGTCCTCATGCGACGAGCCAGAGGCAATTTCCCCGAGTCCTATCCATCGACAAGTTCGAGGCAGTCCCAGGGGATCTACGTCTCCTCCACCTCGACCTCAGGAGTGCCATCATCAATGGAACAAACGGGGCACCAATGCGCACATCAAGATGAAAACCTGCACGCTATGTGGACTTCAGGAGATCACCCAGCGCAAAACGGATGTGATCACTCAGCGTTGGGTCAATCCCAGCTCACTCAAGAAGTCCGGACGACCTCGTGCAGTGAGCCCTTGACTCTGAAAGCCGGACAAAGGAAACATGTTTTGGGTGAGATTCAAAAGGCTATCGATCATCCGGAACAAAACACCAACGATGGAAGTGATGGTATCGATGTTGATGATGTTGTTTACAAAGATCATGCCATTCTTCAAGAACTTTTTCATTTGAAGTTGATTGGTGAAGTCTTCAGCCCTGATCGATTCACACAGCGATCATCCAAACATGGTATGCAGCCTGGAAAGGCATTTGATCTTCGCCTGGGTCATCAGTTTCTCTGCCCAAAACAAAGAAGGAAGTGTTTGGATCATGTGATCAACAATCCTTATGATCTTATCGTTGTCACTCCTCCTTGTACGATGTTCTCTATGTTGCAATATTTGGGTTTGGGCAAATCAAAAGAAAGCTGTATGAATGATCCAGAGTTCCAGCGAAGATATCATGAAGCCTGTGTCTTGCTGAACTTCGCAGTGCTCATTTGCCGTATTCAATCACATCGTGGTCGATATTTTCTGTTTGAGCAACCATGGAATGCAGTATCATGGAATGAAGCTTGTGTCAGAAAGTTGCTGAATACCCCGGCCACACACCTGGTACGAACGGATCAGTGTATGTTTGGTCAAAAAGATTTAGCCAATAATCCTATCAGGAAGAGAACTGGTTTCCTTACCAATCATGCATCCGTAGCAGCAGCTTTGAGAAGAACATGCAAGGGTCTTCACAAACATCAGCCGTGTGTAGGTGCTTGCCAGGGTAAGCAGCGTGCAGACCAAGCAGCTCACTATCCAAATGCACTCATTGATGCCGTTCTCCGTGCGTTTGCCAGAGCTCCATCGACCAGCGATGAGCCACGTGATGTGGAGATCAGTTCCATTCACTGGAATCAGTCGTGTCCTGACGGATCCAAGAAGGATGTTAAGTACTCACATGTCTTCCATAGCAGCCAGCAGCCAACAGAGCCACAGCAGATTGCACTGACCATCAATCCGACAGAACGACAGGTCCAGTTCTTGGATGAGCCATTGGTTGAACAATTCGCTGTCGATGCGGTTGCAAATGTGGAAACCAGCAGTTCTAGTCAGCCGGTAACCGATGAAGATTCCCTGCAGCGAAATGCTCCTTTGTATTGTGAGCCTCCAGAACGGGAACTACTAGGACTTCCAAGTAATTGCCTCATCGAAATCAGAAAGACTGTTTACGGTCTGGTTGATGCCCCTTTTCGATGGAATCAACACTTGGACAAGACATTCAAATCTATGGGTTATGTTCCTTCCATTTTGGATCCATGTTGTTATTTGCTTCACTCCAAGAATGACAAAGATCAACTTACTTTAGATGGGATTATCATGGTTGCGACAGATGATCTGGTAAGTGGTGGTAATCTTCGTCATCAGCAATTAATGGAGCAACTTCGAACAAAATACAAATTTGGAAAATGGGAATATGATGCTGGTCGATTTTGTGGTAAAGACCTTCAACAAGGAAAGGACAAGTCGATTCATGTGAGTCAAACATACTATGCAGAACAAAGATGTTGGGAAAGAATTTCCATACCAAAAGGAGTCAGCAATGATACACCATGTGACCTTGATCAAGTACGACAGTTGCGTGAGAAGGTAGGTGCTCTCAGCTGGATTTCGAAAGAAACTCGGGTGGACCTTGCTGGCAGTGTCGCTTTACTTATGCAGGCCTTTCCATGCCCCTCCATTGGAGACCTTAAGACATGTAACAAGATTCTCAAGGAAGCTCAACTATATAAAGACCTTGGTATAACCATTCGTCCAATAGCTCCAGAAAACTTGTGCATTGTTGTTTCCTCTGATGCAGCTTGGGCCAATGCAAAGGATCAAGAAGGTGATCACAAATCACAAGCCGGATATATAGTGCTCTCCACAGATCGCCAAATGCTTCAGGGTCGAGAAACCATGTTTTCTATGTTGACTTGGAAAAGTCATACTTTGAAAAGAAGAACAGTCTCTACTTTGAGTGCTGAAACTCAGGCCATTGTTGAGAGTGCTGCAATTGCTTGTTGGTTTAGATACCTGATGGCTGAGATGTTCTACAGAGATCTTCTGAACAATGGTAGCATCGATTGGGAAACAATGTTGGAACCACTTGAATTTGGCATAGTCACAGATGCCAAATCCGTTTATGACGCTCTTACAGCATCCAGTCATTCTACTTCCAGCACTGACAAACGTACCTGTATTGATTGAGCTATCATTAGGGAATATCTACGAAGACATAACGGTTGCATTCGATGGATTGATGGGTCAGTTCAATTGGCCGATTCGTTGACCAAGCACATGACTACAGATTTTCTTCGATCAGTGCTATACCGTGGATCCTATCAGCTTCAGGAAGAGTACGATACATTGAACTTGAGATGCAAGGCCAAAGAAGAAAAATTGAAAAGAAAGATGAACCAAAAGAATAGTAGGGAATGTGATTCCTGAAGTTGTGTGACATGTCAAGCTTGGTTCATCTTGCAGCTGCCGCTGCACTTTGGCTGGAGAGACTCGAGGGGTTACGTCGTGCCATGCATTCTGGAAAAGGGTGCGTACGGTGTGCGATCGGAAGGTCGTGTGTGACGTTTGTTTCGAGCCCAAGTTCACTAAGTTCATAGTACCCCCATTTCAGGAAACCTCCAGTTGAGGAGGTTGTACCGCCCAAAGTCATCCAAACTTCGATCAATTCTAGTACTGAAACCTATGGTGACTTGGGGATTCACCATGGTAAGAAACCCCCCCATTTGATGGTTCAATCTTAATCTTTGCTGGTCAAAGTCATGATTTCCCACGTATGTTGTCACATCAGCAGTCTTCTTGTCTGACTCAATTTCACATCCCCATACTTTTCTGTGTTGAAATGGGCGTTCCCATGATGAATGGGTAAAGGGCTTTGAACTCGACATGTTCACCATTTGTTTCCCCTATCGAATCACTTTCCCTCTTCGAAAAATTGCCATTTGTTGTACCCATAGACATGACATACCCCATATCCATTGTTCGTTCGTCAAAATTCCTATTGTTGCCCTGATTCCCATGATATTCCATTCTCCCCCGGTGATGTTGCTTCTATTCCCATTCCCCTCCAGTAATCAAGCATAGCAATGGGAAAGTCCTCCATTTATAGATGAATGTCCCAGCTAGAAACCTCCATTGAGTTCGGGCATTTCCCATTGCCGGCCGTGTTTGATTACCAAAAACTTGGTAGTTGTCCCATTATATCCTCATGATATTCCCATTATACCTCCGTATATTCATGGTTACCATTTGTAGCCATCAAAAACCTCCATTCCGACTCCATTCCTGATTTTGATTAGCTTGAATCCCATGATAGTCCCATTAAATCCCTACATTGGTGTTCATGCTTCAACCTCCATTGAGTGTGCATTTCCCATGTTTCACCAGCCCTTGGCACCTGCCCCTGTGGCTCTTGGGACTGCGGCGAAGACATCAAGCAGTCGCTAGGAATGGCGGAGGTAGGCGTATCGTCCTGGCGTCCGCGGAGAGGTTGGGGTGATTTGAGCAACCCAAAAGGTACATAGAACAGTGGGAAAGCTGGAAAAATATGAGGTACATACGGTGGATAGAAGAAATCCGAATCACCAGTTCATAGATGGTTTATTCCACTATTTATAGGGTTTCAACCTTCCCAAATTGGTGATGCAGGATTTCGCAACCATCCACAGTATCATCTAAACCATCCTGGAAAGACTTTTCGGCGTTAGTATAATCCAAAGCCTGGAAAAAAGAAACCACGAACTCATCAACCAGCGAAGTTAGAAACCCTCTGGTAAACTAACAGTTTGCTATTGAAAATGGCCATTGAAATAGTTGATTTACCCACTAAAAATGGTGATTGTCCATAGTTATGTTAGTTTACCAGAGGGTAACTCTGATTCATTAATGTCAAACCAACACAACATGGTGAATCGAGAAAAACTCAACCTACCTGCTGGTAATCTAATAAAACGATCTGAAACATGACCCATTGGTACATGTTTTTCCTCTTAAAAATAGTGGTTTTCCATAGCTATGTGAAATTACCAGAGGGTAAACCCACGGAGTCCTTGGATTTGTGGGTTAAGCTGGAAATATCTTGAAATTGAAAATTTCCCTTGTGATTTTCATTTATTCTCTGTGTTTTTTCCGTTTAAAATCCAGTGCGTTCTATTTATATTTATGTATAATTAATAACAATAATAATAATAAATAATAATAATAATAATATATATACACACATATATCGGTTTCTATAGATTAATTTAGTCCCCCCGTCTTTACCACTTAATTTACAGCATGATTGTTCCAATTCAACAGGGCTGATCTATGTCTCAACATCCCCAGTGGAACCTTCATCTCAGCCATGTCTATAGATGAAATCCTCTGGGTTGGGTGGAGCAGACCCGGCTTTCGAACACAATGACATAGGATGAAAAAGGCAATAGAAATCATAGAAATCCCATATTTCTATATGGAATTATATATATATAATTATATAATATATAATATAAAATCGCCCCATATTTCTACATATGTGAAATGTTTCATTGTGTCAAGAAATCACGCGTAGCACCTTGTTGCGCGGCAGCGAGCGAGGTTGAAGCATCACACCTCATGGATTGATGAAGCTAATCCAGACAAATACTATGTGGGCAGTAAAAAAAAGCACGCAGTGGGCAGCAACATGGCACTTTGAATAGTATACTTAAGATGTTTCAACTGTTTCAACCACAAGCGTGAGCTGAAAGCGAGGAACCATTTTTGCGTGTGCAAAGCGAACAGGAAGAAAAGAATCAGGTTCATTTACCTCCCAGTTGACAGGAAATGTTGCTGCAAATTCAATAACATCCTTTATGAATCTCAAACCTGGGGTTTCGTCATGAAGGTTTATCAAGATTGATGGTAATTAACGAATTCCTCACCAAAAAAAACAAAACAAACATTCAATGGCCATTTCAAGAACCTAACTTGGAGGTACCTACCAATTTTTGTTCGGCCTATGTTTCAGGGCTCAGCCCCTGACTCCTGGATCGCCCTTCTTTGGGCGAATCCTACCAGGGCCGTCGGGCCGGTCAGTTGGCTGGTCTTTCTTTTTGAGGGATCTCATTGGGAGATACCTGATAGAAGCAACTTAAAACTTGGGAATCACCTGTTTTTTGGGATATGTAAGTTAGTTTAATAAGTTTAATGGACTGAACTCAGAGATTTCACCCAAAAAAACTCATTTTACTGGGATAAACCTGCTATAACCATCAACAGAAGGGACTTGACGATCAAAAATAGTGGCGCATTTAGCTAAATGACTAATTCGGATTACAACTAGATTAAGTAGGTGTAGTAGATAGATCTATAGTTATAACTTGCTACAGTTCGATGGTCTTTGACCAACGTTCACATCACCGGGGGGCGACGAGACCACCCAGGTACACAGCTCGGAATGATGACCCCCAAGTGGTTTTGCAAAACCCCCAAAAGGTAAAGGATTTACCAAGTGGTTCCCCACAAAATTCGAATTCTGGAAAATACGATTGGTTCAACCCTATACCTGCCGTATTTTTTTACACCCCAAGTTGGAGACTAAGTCCACTAGCATCATCCAATAGCCAATTGCAGGGTCAAAAGCCCTAGACCTCCCAACTTTTGAACTGGATTTGACCAACAACTTTCTTGGGCAGACTCAATTTTGTGATTTTGGTAAATTATTTCATCAGTCTCAGAACATGGGGAAAAGAAACAGATTTTACTACTCAAATTGTTTGGAGGTGTCAAATAAAGTTGTTAAATCCACAAAAATAATCCAATTCAAACTGGTCTCTGGTAACAAAAATGCTGTGGCAAATAGCCTAGTTAGCTCCATGATTTGCCCAGAGTCTCTAATATCTTCCCATCTCAAACCCATATTTTCCTATGGAAAAATGGTGATTTTCCAGCAAACTGCCACAGGTCACGAATGCCCTGGCCTCGGGTTGCCGCGAGAGTGTGGGGGAAAGGTACAACTCCTCGAATCCAGTGAGTTTGGAGGGAACAAATTGGGGGGTTCACCAGCCAAAAATGGGGGATTTATCATGATTTATAGATTAAAAACATCGCCAAAAATGGGGGATTTTCCTGGATCAGAAATTGGCCATTTTGCGACTTGACTAGCAGCAGGATCCCGGCGGGATTTGGTCTCAGAATGGAACCTGAAAGCTTTGGAACCGGATGAAGTCGCGGCTGGACATTCACCAGGAAGATAGATCCCCCGGGGCTTTTGTTCATGGAACTGCCACAGGGGGTGCGTCATTTTTGGACCGAAAAATACCTGGAACAAGGCATTTGTTTTGAAAGTTGACATGGGATGGTCTGAAAATCATGACTGAACATTCAATGATTTTTATCATCAGTCTCCCTATTAATATAGGGCTATTTTTTTATCTAAAGGGTATACCCTATTTTCAACCACCATATCAATGGCCATTTCAGGAACCTCAATTGGAGGTACCTACCATATGTAGGGGCCTATGTAAGGCCTATGTAAGGGGATATACCCCCAAAATATGGCCTTATATAGTACAGTACCTCCATTTTAGGATCCTGGAATTCCCATTGATTGTCCTTTTCAAATGACCATGGTCATGTTGAGACCGACATCCTGCAGCCTCTTCACTTCAGCACGGAGATCTGCCACCTGAAGGCTGCTTTTTAGGTGGCCGAATCCCTCCATTTCTTGTTGAAATGGTTCGTAGGTTTGGTTGTACCCTATGGTTATGACTAACATAGCCATGGTATAGATGGCCCATAGAAATAGTTGGTTTACCTATTAAAAATGGTGATGTTCCATGGCTATGTCAAATAACCAGATGGTAATCCCCAAAGAAAACAGATGCTGGAAAAGTACATAATTTACAAGTGTATCACTATATGACTAGTCAGATTATACTGTTCCATCGGGGGTTGCTACAATATAATGATAATAACGGTGGCAATAGTGATGGCAATGGTAATAAGCTGATTTTTGAAGATGTCTGCCCATCACATAATATGACAGCGCCTTCTCTCATTTCTCTCATTTCTCTTCCATTCCATTGGGAAAGTGATAAGGGATACAACGATGCTGAGTCTGTGGGTCTGACACGCCGGGGTTCTGACCCGAAAGCCCCATCTTCCAACCAAAAAAAAACAATTCCTATGGGTATGGGTCAAAGTTTAACACCTAAAAAAACACAGATTGGCTGGTCTATTTTTAGTCTTCACATGTCTTTTTCGGGGTACCCTATTTGTGACCCAAACCTCTGGGGCCCGGCGCCGGCCAAAAGGTCACTGCCTCCTCGGCTGCCTGGGAAATATGGGCGGAATTCTCCATGGGATATTGGGATATAAACCACAATAAAGCCATGAGAAAGTGTCAACCAACAAATATGTCTCATGGGAAATATGGGATATCGGAATATTGATGCCCCCTGGCATTTTCTTATGAGAAATGATGTTCAATTGGTGAAAAAAACAATGATGTAAGGCCTCTAAGGATGGCTACGGTTGATGGTTTTTATTATGGTGAGCCATTTTTTCATAAATGGCTATGAGTTTGGGGTTCGGGATAGATTTTGCCCACCAAAAGTTCTATGTTTCATGATGTCCCCCCTCCCCATTGAGCCACCCCTCACCATCCACTGTTGGAGTTAAACATAGCTGGGAAATCCACTATAAATGGATGCCTTTCCATTGCCATGTGTGATTACCAGAAGGTAAGTCATAAGTCATTTTGAGCCACACCCTCCAATGAGGATCAAAATGGAACTGGATTCTCCGTGCTTCTTAAAATTTAGAGAAGCTAAGAACATAGAACGCCCCGAAATTTGAGGTGTCATCATTATTCTCCCCAAAAAAAACATTTCTCATCAAGCCCATGTCCGTTCATTGCTGAAAGCCCATGTCCGTTCTTCAAGCTAAAAAATCACTGTTCTCGGCTGGTTAAACCTCCATCCTTTTTCGGTCATTGGTGAAAAACCACCAGTGTTTTTCATGTTTAAATCCAGATATATTCCATGGTCAAACCATTTGAGGCTTGCCTAAAGTATGGCTACCCATGGCTACCCCAAACCGTTGGTTTTTTTCTCCATTGATCATGGCGCCAATGTTGGATGATTTTGGGGCCCAAGTCAGGAAACACCCCATTTCTTCAATGGTCAAACTGGTTAAACTGCGCATGTTTTTTTCACGTTTAACTCATCTTAAATCCAAATATTCCATGTTTAAATCATGTTTAATCTCAACCCAGGATTAATTAAGCCCTGGTTTACGAATTGAGGAGGTACTATTTATCAAATGAAATATCACTTTTTGGGGAACCCCCATAGTACTAAACTGGGGGAGTATTCATCTGTAGCTAAATAGATCCACATCTATTCCACCAAAATATGGCTATGGTACCCCAAACCCGTGGTTTTCTCCCACTGATCATAGCCCATTTTGGATGGTTTTTGGGGTCAATTTCAATTGAGCAGTGGTTGCTAAACCCCTGTTGGTTGATGATCATAGGGGATTATATTACCCCTTATATATTGGGGATTATTGTAATCCAATAGGGGGAGTCAATGGAATGACAGAGGGATTTTGAACACTTCTCAATTGTTTATGGGATAAACCTCCAAAAAGCTAAGTCAGTAAACCATGTGGGAAACCCTGCCATCTGTGCGGTTTGAACACTGCTCAATTGTCACGGTTTTTTTCTATTTAGATCGGAGTTTCCCATCAGTTCTTTCTTCCGAAATCCTCCAATTTATAGTTGCTTTTTTCCCATACTTACAGATTATTTTCCCACGATTTTCCTACTAAATCCTCCCATTCATAGTCGGTTTTTCCCACGAACATTCCATCGTTGCTTTCGGCCCACCTCCGCTTTTCTCCGCAGCCGCACCAAATCCTCCTCGCCCTCCGCGGGCTCCACGGCCTAGCTCCACAATTTTTTGAAAAATCCTGGGAAAAAGAATGGAAAATATGGGAAAAAAACACTATAAATGGAGGGTATCCTAGGAAAATCATGGGAAAATCCGATCTAAATGGACTTTGAATGGGAAAAATCGTCCAATGATTGGAAAATAGCCTATATAATATATAGGGTAAACGTTGCCGTGGAAAACCAATGGTTTCCGGTTCAAAAAATGATCTACAAATGGTGGATATCACCAACAAATACTGGGATATACTGGGAATATCATGGGAATATCATGGGCTATAACATCATGGGATACCCTCTGGTTATGACTAACAGTTTGCCATGGAAAGATCCACCATGCTATTAATAGGTAAACCATCTATTTCTATGGGCCATTTCCCATGGCTATGTTAGTCATAACCAGAGGGTAATGAATGGATTATTAATGGATTATGAATGGGGATATACTGGGATATTAAAAATGAGATTTCATAATGGGATTAGCCAAGATAAATGGGATTCGGATGCAGTAATAATTTATATCATATTAATGGACTATTTATCCATCTGATAACGGTAATATATATATATATACCAAAGGGATAGTGATGGGGATATATCACTGGAATGGGGTATTCTCATGGAATATTACTGGGAATGGCATATTTCCCTCCGGACCGTAATCAAACATGGCCAGCCTCGGAAATGGATGTTCAACCATCACCGGATAGGGATTTCATGGGCTATATTGGGAATATACTGGGAATATAATGGGACTATTACGGGATATGTATGTGTATGTATGTATATATATTACCCTCTGGTAAACCAACATAACTATGGAAAATCACCATGCTATTCATGGCTAAGTCCACTATTTCGACTGGGCCATTTTCCAGTTCGCAAACTGTTGGTTTACCAGAAGGTAGATCACCCCAACTTCATATTCTTGATTACTCCCATATATTATGGAAAATAAAAAATGTTCCAAACCACCAACCAGTATAAATATATAACCAACTTGACATGATATTTGGATTTAGATTCACCCTCCCGGTGTCGCGTCATAAAACGTTGCCGGGAAAGTCATGGAACTGGCGGATGGTCCACGTCAGCTTTGATTACCCAAGGGGAGTAACAGGGGATAGTCCAATTTTTGTAGTATATCTTAGTAAGATTAGATATGTTTGGATCATATAGCAGCAACCAATGTTTACATAGATATCTAATATTTACAGCAAACCCTTTGAGCGGATCTTTTTTAGTAGGATATTCCATTCATCTTTTAGTAAGAGATAGCCACAGATTTATCCAATTTAGGAGCTTCCCACTGATTCATCCGAAAACATCCAAAAACGTCCATACCCACCGCATTTCCGAGTTTACATGCAATGATGATGCCATCTGTAGATACTGCGTTTTCTGTCCCTAAGTGCAAGATGACTTCTTGTCTCAGGCGAGTTCTTGTGGTGAGGAGGTTCCACTGGTTCCAAGTTTTATCATTGGGATTACCACATTGATTTTTTGATCACCAGTTTACCCTCTGGTAAACTAACATAACTATGGAAAATCATCATTTTTAATGGGAAAATCCACTATAAATGGTCATTTTCAATAGCTATGTTAAATTACCAGAGGGTAACCATCATGTTTTTTTGCTTTGCCATCAAAAATGAGAAGTCGGCCATCAGAAAATATGTGTGTATCAACTGTAAACCACCTCAGCATAGGATACCAAGCTTCTGGAAACAACATACAACCATTTATAAATTTGATATGAACCATTTGGACATGAAATAGAGCTACATGTTAATTAAAGGTGAGCATAAGAAAAAAATGCAAACGGCATGCAGGTAGGGTGGCAAAATGCAGCCTCAAGAGAGGGAGGTTTGATTGTGATAAGAATGTTCTCTTGATATACATGGCCTGTAAATAAATAGGGTAGTATATACATACACTTTTATACATATATACAGAATTATACAAATACATAATTATACATAATTCGACGTAACTATTGCATCATCAATTATACGCAATGCAAAGTAGGGATTTCAGAAATGAAGAGAGGGGTGACTGGTTACGTGATCATGCTTCATTACCTCAAAAACTCATGGGACAAGCTCACAACCCTCAGAGCCTGCGTTGAGGTTGGTGCTATCTTCCGGGATTCAGGTGTGTCTGAAAATAGGCTATCCCAAACTCCGTTTATCATTATGTTCCCTATCATTTGGGAGTATACTATGTTTTAAGAGTATGTTTTCAGACAGAACCCAACCAACACATTAGATTGTGGATATTATATATATACATATATTTCCCATTAAACTATAAGTGCCCACTATAATGAAAGTATCAAAAAGCATTCAACGGCCCTTCGCCAACCCAGTAGTCCTCCCCTCTTTCCACGCACTTTTCACGGAACGCCTCGAAGTACTTGTAGCGATCGGCGGTTTGAACTTGTCCCAGCGCCTGAGGCTACCCGAAGACGGCGGGTGCTTGGATACACCCAGTGGATAAGGGCTATCTATAATCTCATGCCTCAGCAGGCAGAGAACAGTTTTGGGAGTGCACCTTCCATTCAACACAAGCTTGAATATATTATTGATAAATTGGGAGGTTAGTGAATGTTGGGGGGATGGACTGCAAGCAGTCGAACAGCAGCACTGCACCAGTTGTGTTTTCAAGCCCAGATACCCTGAGAAAGTTCACCATTTTATGAGCTCCAAAAATGCACCGGTGCAGATTTGTCTGAAATTAGGGTACCGATAAATCCATTAGTTTTTCAACATTATCCCATCTTGCCCCTATTAAATTGCCACTTTGAAGCATAATACCCTATTTCCCAACACACCCAAATCATTCCAGTCCATTATTCATGTATTGTAAAAATCCTTATTCTTCATCGCTGAAATCACCAGAAATGGCCAAGTTTGCCATCATACATCCCGAACTTTCCTTCGTTGAATCGCCGTCTGCATCCGTTCTTCACTGGTCCAAACCTCTATAAATTGGCTGCTGAAACCCTCCATCCCCCACTTTTTTCAGCATGAACTCCACAAGATGTGGTAGAAACTTCATGGTATTCTAGACTTCCCCGTCCAAACTAACAGTTCAATGTGGAAAAATATGTCATTTAGTAGTTTTATAGATATTATAGATATGATAGATATGATAGATATTATAGATATGATAGATATGATAGATATTATAGATATGATAGATATTATAGATATGATAGATATGATAGATATGATAGATCACATCTATAGATTTTACAGATCCTTTTCGTTAAACCCATAGGCTTTTCATGGGTTTTTCATGGCTTTCCCAGCGCGAAGCTTCCATGGAGATCACAGGTCTCCAGGCGGACAGGAGCTCGTTGGCCTCCTCCACCAGGACGGCCAGTGGCCTGGATGAATGGTTTATGATTGCACTACCATCATATATATTATGATATAGATATATATATATATATGTGTATATATATAGAGATAATGTATCCTAGTACAATGATAATATGTATCATAATGGTCTATATATATTATGATTATATACATATATACATAGATATATGTATATGTATAGTATATACGCGCTGGGATTAATGTTAGTGGAACAATGTCATAAACCACTCATATTTGTGCTATATGTATCTACGTGTTTGAATGGACTACATCTGCCATAAAGATAGTAAAGTTGGGGATGGTGGATCCCTACTGCTTTGCTAAGACCAAGCATCATTCGTAGGGGTTTTAATTTTAAACAAGATGGAGATATAGTTGGGATAAACTTGATGATATTCCCAGCTAGAAACCTCCGTTTCATTCAGGGATTTCCCCGCGGCAAGCCATGTTGCCTTACCGGAGTGTATATCTTGAAACTTTCCAGAATTAGTTCAAGAAAAATCATATGTGTTTATTTGATTTTAATGGCAACACAAGATTTGGATGATTGAAATGAAACGGTCCTTTGATGATTTGAATACTGTATGAGACTGTATGGGTAAATTCAGCTTGATACCACAGTGCCCTTTGAAGAGCATAGACTTGTCGAATTTGGATGCTAATTTTGACCCACAGTTCACCACGTGTGTTCAGGGATAAGCATCTTGAGGTCCATTCGACTACATCTAGGACCTTCAACTTCATGGTGTATCATCGTTACCCTCTGGTAAACATACAAAAAACTATGGAAAATCACCATGTTCAATGGGAAAATCAACTATTTCTATGGCCATGTTCAAGTTCGCAAACTGTTAGTTTATCATCGTTACCTTCATTGAGTTCGATGATTTGCCCACCCCTCCCTGGCCCGTGACTGTGGAGGTGATCCATTTTGGAAATGTCAAGCTGTGAACCGTTGGCGATTCAAAATGGCCCAGGTTACTTCGATGATGTATGTATTGAACATGGCGACTTTCCATAGCAAACTGTTGAACTACCAGATATCACCCCAACTTCATATTCTTGATTACTAACATCCCATTAAAATCCCCATGAAATCCCCATTATCGCGCACGGCCTTCTGTCTCTGCCACTAGCCGGCTAATCGCAGGCTGAGTGGTCCAAATGAAACCAGATCTAAAGTGGGAAAGGCTTTGAGAAGCCCTGGACACAAACGATGGGTCTGGCACCGACAAAATGGCGCAGAATTCTCTGAGCCTCTACGCATGAATCATACGCAAGGCCCATTTCTATACAAACTTGAGGCACATGGATGCCCAAAACTGTCAAGTGGCCACTGGTGCTCATGCCATCAAAACCCACGGTGGTGAACAGATGGGTGAGTGCACGGCGAAACACCTTTAACTCGGCAGCAAACGTAGGAACAACATACCTGTTGATAGAATCAGCCCCAGAGACAAAAACACCCAAACTCCTCCTGAAAACAACGAACAACTCAATCAAACTCACCAATCTCTTCGTGGAAGCTTGCTGATCCTGTTCCACGATCCAATCCACCAGTTTCCCACAAACAAAATCAAAATGTAGGTCAACTCCTACATGCCAATGATTGCAGCCCTTCAATGGCAAAAATTGTACATGAAACTGCGCATCGTTGGGACTTGCAGTTATACAAAACTCATGTGAAACATCTTCATCGCCTTCACTCGTGGGATCAATGTTCACGTCAGTTTCACAATCAAAACGAGCAACCTGAAGATGAAACGAAGTAATCAAACCCACCCTACGAAGCCAAACCTCCCGAAAACTACGGTATCGACCCCACACTCGAGTGAAGAAACTTGGTCGACACTGATTGGCCAATGCTGCTTGTCGGTCAGCTTTGTCATTCCAAAAACATGCAAAATCTTCAACTGGTCCTGTACAGTCTTGTGGCAGCATATGGCTGGCCACTTTGTGGACGTAAATGTCTGCTATTGAAATCGCAAGCTTTTGTTCCACTTGCACCCATAGGTCACTGTGTTCAAAGTCTTTCGCATTCCCTATCCTTTTCTGTAAGTCCCTCAGATGGTCGACAACCGTTTGATTGTCCACCCACAAATGCAAATCCCCAGGATGACCTGCCGCCCAGCTGATAGCACTCAAAGCAGCAGTGATTTCAGCCCGAAGAATTGTCTGATGAACTCCAACCAACGGCCCAGTGCTCACTGTGCCTTTTCCAGCTATCACTACAGACCAAGCGGCCAATGAAATTGCACTGCAAGTTGGGTCAGAGCAAGTACCATCCGTAAAGGCATGCCACAGCGTTCCTTCCGGCAAAAACTCAAAAGCACAAGTTTTGTCCGGAAGGTTGTCTAAAGCTTCCCAAGCCAAAGAAAGATAGGGATTGTTCGGAGCCAACCCGCTCAACTTGAAGCTAAGCGGAAGCTCGTTCCAGACCTGAAACAGTTCCTGATGTTGTGCCCGAATTTCATCATATCTGCTACAGTCCTGATAACGGTGCAACTTTGTATCCAACACTCCACAACATACACACAGAGGCTGCTTCCGCGCATCAAACTTACTCAATGTGTGCTTTGTGAAGAAGGTTCCATCACGCACCATCATGAGATATTCCTTCTCATGCGCAGGAAGTCTTGCGTCGCATGCAAATGTCACCTCCCTGTCAAAACCTTGCAGATCTTCATAACCCTTTCGTGATTGCATCTGGAAAGCCACCATGTTCTGAAAGTGTATCAGCAGCACATGTTTCAGCAGCGAGTCGGAGCATGCAAAAAAGTCTATGTTCCCATTTTCAGAGTACCACAGCTTCCCATGCGCATCCAAAACCAAGCCTACTTTGTGCAACTCATTTTTCAGCTTTCCAAAAGGCCCATGAGTGTCCTCATCTTGGCAGTGTTGGCTGAAGGTTCTCCACCAGTCCTTGATAGTAGGGCTCTTCCGGCACTGTTGCAAAAACAAGCTCACCGTTCTCCAGAGTTGATACCAAAAAGGATCAAGTTGGGGATTGCACAAGCCCAGTCGAATTGCAGGAGCTGCCCCCTTTCGATCCCAGTACAAAGCTCGCATGACACCTGTTCTCAGTTTGTCCAAGTGAGAGGATCCCACTTGAACTGCCTCGCACGCATGTAAGGCCCTAGGAAAAAGTGTCTGGCTGACGTTCAAGATCTTAACTGCCGTGGGGACTGCAGCTGTTCGCAGCTTCTTGAAAAAGGCAAGGTATCAGCTATACGGTCAGTCAAGACCCGATTTCGCAGCTGACGGCAGTAAACCACTTGGCCTCCCAAATCCCTCTCTCCAAGGCTCACTTTATACCCCCTACCCCGAAGTTCACGACGCCCCCCAGGGGAAGAGGACCAAGCAAACAGACGAGGCAAGTCGATCTCAACGTCAAGCAGTTGACACAGATTGGATTGGTGCTCAGCAGCGAGATACAAATCATCCAAGCGGTCACATAACAACTCAAGATTGTCAACAAAGCTGACAGGGAGAACACGAGGCACTGCAAGCTTGATAGTCCAATGCCACAGAAAGTCCAAAGCAGTCATGGCAGCACAAGCAAGAGGGCATCCCTCAGGAAAACCGGTAACTGACATGACTGGTGGGCTGGTGCATCGTCTTACAACAAAGTACCTCTCAAATCCAGCCAAATGTGCCTGCCAAGAACGCAGAAACCAAGGTGGCACCCCAAGGATTTCCAAACACTTAAATGCCGGACGGCGTGGAAGAGTGTTGTATGCTTTCACCAAATCAGCCGTAAGTCCATGAACTGGTGTGGTCTGGCAAGCTGCAATCTCCAAGCAAACCCCCACAAAGTACCACACATCAGCTGCTTGGTGACCCTGCATAAAACCACATTGCAGAGTGTCCGCACGGCGTGAAAGTTGTGAAAGGATTTGACCAGCACGGAAACCAGCAAACAGACGGTAGAACAGGGAAGTGACCGTGATCGGTCGGAACCCATCCACAGTGGTGCAATTGTCCCGCTTTTGGAGGCAGTGGATCAATCCAACTGCCCATTGTTTGGGCCAAGGTCTTCCCTGCTCAATCTCATGATATCCATCTATCACAGACTGGATTTGCATATCAGTAAGGTGTGCAAGGTCTGCACGTGTCCAGCCACAAGGTCCTGTGGCGGCAGTGGGCTTGAACGCATGAACTGCTTTCCTGAAATCCTGAACCGTAATTGGGGGCAATGAAATGATCCCAGCAGGCAAGGTCTCAGCAGCATGCTGACAGGCTCTGTCCCAAGCAGAGTCAGGAACCTCAAGGTGTTTGTTCCACCTAGGCGACCACAATTGGATAAGCCTCTCATGGATAACTTCAGTGTCTGTCACCATTTGATGGCACGCCAACTTTTGGCCGGACGCCAGCACCAAATCTGTGTCAATCTGCAACTGGCCACCTACCTGTTGAACCCGCGCAGGAAAATCTTGCAGAGTCCAATGAGACACGGAGCCAACAGGAAAATCCAAAGGAACTGAGACCAAATTGTGGGTGGTATCAGTGACAGAGATGACCTGAGCAGTGACATCCTCCAAGGCATCAAGAGGCGGCTTGGCATCTTTGCGAGTTGGTGCATAGAGTGCCTTGGTGGTGGAAAGCGTCTTAGCTCGACAGCTATCACGCCTACGCTGGAGTTGCCAATGCTCAAACCTGCGGTAGTTGTGAACAAAGTCATCATAGACAATTTGGGCGACATGCTCATCAGGAGGGTACGCAGGGAGAACACGAGGAGCCCCCTGATGTTGAAAAGGCCTGTCCACCCACCACGATCGGAAACCCCCACGGAAACCATGAGCAACGAGAATGCTATGCCACAAAGAGGCCCGAGACAGGACAGTCTCAGCACGCCGAACCGACTTGACAGCATGACAGTAAGATTGGATACGACGCAACTGCTTGTACCAAGCGGCAACCGCACGATTCAAAAATCCAGACGCTTGGACAACCTCTCCAGGGCGAGCATGCTTCATTGTTGGCGCATTGACACGCCGCTTGCGAGGTTTGGTGAGTTGACCTCTGCCAAAGAAACTCCTGTCACCTTGAGCAACCGACCCCTGAACACAGCAAGCCACCGCCTTTTCAAAAGAGGAGCTCCACTTCTGAAAGTCCATATAAACCCATTTCTCCCGGAACAGCAGCCAATCCAACACAACCCACAGGCGCTGGGTTGGACTGAAAAAGAGGACCCAAGGGAGGCATGGCATTCCAAGCATCAAGACAGACTGAACTCCAAGGAACATGACCAGGAAGACGCCATTGCAGCTCTGTGACGCGCACCTGAGGAAGTGTCAGCCCCGCAATGACAACCGAATGGTCAGGAAAGATATCCCATACCGCCACATTATTAACCACCGTTGCCAATTCTGGAGAAAGCCAAATTTGGTCAGGCTGAGTCGCGCCTTTGCATGTTTTCCTAGGATGAACCCCATGCAAGTGCAAGAAGAGATCCTGCAGCTCAATCCATCCATGGGCCTTCCAAATATCCATCTGGTGCAGTGCTCCAACGTGACAATTCATATCCCCCAGGATGGCACGCGGTCCCGACCTTCCCAAGACCAGTTCCTCCGTGATCGGAGTAAGCAGCTGCTCAGAAAGCGCAGCAGCATTTGGAAAAGTTGGCCCCTTGGGTGGAAGATAAACTGCGGCAGCGAAAATCTCAAACCCTTGAACACAAGCGGAAGTCAAAAGAACACGGCCGCTCTCAAACTCACCAGAAGGCCAAACGCAGGGAACTTGGCGCAAAGGGCAATCACCAAAAGTCAGAACACCAGTCCAAGCACCAGCTGATCGTGATCCAGGCCTCAACGGTGCTGGAGCACCCAAAGTACTTCGGAGATGTCGCCCAGTTTTGCGAGAAAGGGAACCGATGTAACCCTGAAGGGCACACTGCTGATATTTTGATGCCTGCGTTTCCGCAACATGCCACCAACCCACAGGCATGAAGTCCAGCATATGTAGCTTGTTTGAAATGCCGGAAGGATTGAACAAACCCAGGCAAAAATCAGGGTCCCCTGGCAAAGTCCAGGCAAGGGGGTCAACAAAAGAATCCAGTCTGGCCGTTTGCGGGCCCGGAACAGTGGCCTCACCAATTCGAAATGAATGCACAAACGCACACAACAGGAAAGTCCAAAAACGAGGAAACCAACGGATAGACCTACAATCCGATACAGGCACTCTCCCAAGTCCAAAGGAGAGCCCTGCATGACCTAGTCAGTCATGCCGAGGGCGTTTGGCCAACATAGCTTCGATGGCCTCCTGCTGTTTGGCAAAATATGCATCCAAATTGGATGTGAGGCCATCCCTAAGTCCACTGACCTCTTTGGCAACCGACTGAAGGCCAGTAGTGCAATTTCCCACCTCAGCTGCAACAGTTTGCAACGTGTGACCCTGAGTATGGACTTGGTGTTGCAGCTGCTGGCATTCTTGCTGCAAGCCATGGACCTTCGAACTGCCATCTGAGATCCAGTGCTCCAGCTTAGTCTGGTTTTCAACCAAGCTTTGGATTTGATTCTCAACTGCTGTGATGCGGCTTGCGGCAGCTGTGTCATTGTGCAGCTTGTTGACCTCTTTGGTGAGGGTAGATTCAACATGTTGCTGAAGTCGAACTTCAACGTCCTCAAAACGGCTCTGGACATGCTGCGTTTGAACAGGACCATTCTTTGTCTGGGGTTTGTAGCCCCCCCACGGATCAACGCCCGCCTGCCATGGGTCTTGTGCAGAGGAGCTGCTAGCTGTGGAAGCGGATGCATCATGAATGTGCTGCTTTGTGCGAGCAGTGGCAATCAAACTTTGGGTTTTCACAACGGGTGCGGCATCTCGAATCTTTGAAATGCCAATCCAACCATGCTGAGCTTCAATGAACTGCGCTGGTGGAGCAGTGCTGGTGCCAACTTGCCATGCTTTCCCCTGGCTGCCCTTGCAAGGTTGCAAAGGTTTCGCATTCCAACCAAAGGTTCGGAGAGTGGCAACAAGAGAAGCACGCTGAGTGCCTGCAGGCAAAGGTTCAAGCCGATAAATAGTCTTCACCGGGCAATCCACAAAGGGCTTATTGGGACACAATGCACTATGCAAGGCTTCCTGGTGTTTCGCCAAGCATCTTATGCCATGCTTATGGCCAAGACGGCAAACAGCAATGCAATGGTCAAGGGTACGAGCACGATGCATGGCTTCACCAAATTTCAACTGCGGCACCCAAACAACAGCATATTTATCATCAGGACCAGGGGCGTCAGCATTTCGTGGCTCGAAGAAAAACCCTTTGAAACCAGAAGACTGGTGAACATACTCAAAGCTAGACTCAGGGATTCGGATGTACACCGACAAAACTTCTGCCTTTTCTGATGGCATCTTGCTACCGTCATACCCATGCCAGCGAAAAGCCCAAATGTCCAGCAAACCGGATTCCACACCCTCTTCTTCAAGTGAAGGATGAAACATGCCACATTCTTGATCACAGTCCGCAACACGACACAAACGCAAGATGGGAAAGAGTTGAACAAGTGACCTCACTGGATGTGCAGTCAGATCGGCCCAAACATTGTCAATCTCCCAAACATCCCGAAAAACATGCACCCGCATCACTTTTGTGGGGCAAACCGCAAGCTCAGGTGCTTCAGTATTGGCTTTCCGGTACACTGCCTGATCACCAAGCTGGATCGACATCACGTCCAAAATGATGGGCTCATTGGTGCCCTTGTAGATTGCCGGAACACGCAAAGCATGCATCGGAAGAGCCGGTGGCAAATTTTCAGGCATGGTTCCTACAACCAACAAAGCTAAGCCCTCAGCACTTATGAGCTTACCATCAGTCAAGAACCTCTGGGCATCCGATGCTGTGGCAAAAGCAACTCCCCTTGCATCCTTTTGAACTTCATCAATTGAAAGTTGAGGCAAGTCTGTGCCGCAGTTTGTGACAAAAACTCCATGTGGCAAAAGCAAACTGGCTGGATCAAGCTGAGCAGAATCACCCGACTCACGACGACCTGGTTTCTGTTTTGGCTTTTTGATGTCCACAGCCCCAAATCGGCTTTGCGCACGTTCCTGAATGTGAGTCTGAAGTTCTTCATGTGTCACCCACATGAATGGCTTAGACTTGGAATTGCCTAGACTTTTTAGGGCTGCCTATGGGTTCTTGGCCGTTGTGGCCTGCTGCAATGCTTTCACTCCAAAAACTTTGATGGCTGCATTGATACGAGGTTTGACGGCCTCATTTGGTACCCCTTTGGATGGCAAAATCTATTCAAGGCTTCCTGCCACTGCGGCTTCATCAGCGCCAAATCCAACCGGCCCTTGAAACATGGCCATGTGACTGCAAACAGCGAGGCTGGCATGCAAGTTCTCGAAACAAGTGGCCTGCTCATATGAAATGGCCCCAACATGGTATGCAAAATGTGCTAAGGCAATGGTCCCACAAGAGTCGGCCTCATGCTGTGGAAAATCCCAAGTCGTGCTCAAAATGACACTATCTGCATTCCAAGACCGCTTCAAAGCGCAGGCCAAAGGAGCCAACCGTGAGATGGGGGTTTGCGCAAGTCCATCGTATTGAACAATGCTGAGGGTGCGGCCCTGCAAACTGCACTTCACCAGAGTCCAGTGGTGATCAACCAAAATGAAGACCCACATGGGCGGCAGTTCAGGGGAAAAGGCCGCAAGCTCACATGTGAGGAAGTCTCTGTGCTCCTGCAAACACACAACTTTGATTTGACTCTGAGGCACTGGCACCCTGGCAGAAGAAGCAATGGCACGGGCAAAATCCAACACAAACTTGACAGTCAACCCAGTCCGCAGGTTTTGCAAGGTGGGAGATGGCCAACATGTGACATCCTCACGCTCAGTGGGCTTCATTCTCATCGCCCGTGTTTGCTTCAGTGCAGCCGCAACGGCCGGTGGAAGTCCAAGGGCCCCATCCAACATTTCAAACACCCGGTTCAAACTGCCGACTGTCTCATCAAAACCTCGCAGCAAGAAGTGTTCCTCCTGATAGTCAAGTCTGGCTGAGACATTTTTAACCCGAAATGCCAAGTGCGACACAACACATGAGGCACGCTGATCAGGCTCAAAGAAAACGACTTGAAGCTTGGTGGCAGTCAAATCAAACTTAACCAGGTTCCACCCCCAGGATTCCCAAACTATTGCAAAAACCTGAGCATTTGGTGGTTCCAGCCAGGTTCTCAAATGATCATCCATGGTGCATGGCCACAATTCCAAAACAGCCTCGGAGAACCAAGGAAGCCAGCAAGTCAAGGCACCAAAACCCAAGCCAGTCCAGGACAGTAGAAGATCGGAGCACGCAATCTGATCCAAATGCCACAGACCCGTACAACACCAAGGCCGGGAGATCTGGAGGCCATGTTTCCCTGGCTCAACAAGTCCAAGTCCACTGAGTCGCAGGGAAAGCTCGAAGTCCAAAGCATCAGGGTCCAACCAAACCACAACCGTGCGCCAAGGCTGCACGACCTCGTGAGGGTCAATGGACGCAGCATCAGAATCCACCAAACCAAGGAAATCGTGAATCCCTACCCAGTTCATGAGTGTATGGTAGCTGAAACCCATTGGCACAAGGTACAGAGTACGAACCCCCAAATGTTCCACAATAACCGGCACTGGGCGATGGGTGACTGTGCCAGCAGGCTGCACAATCAGTTGGTAACAACGTTGCTGCAGATACGCCCACTCAGGTAATTCGACCCCTTCACAAAAGACCTTGATCGCTGTGTGATCCGACAATTAGGATTCCGCCGTGATGAGGTCTTTGACCCTTTGGGTGGTATTGAAGGTCACCTCAGTGCAAACATCTTTGCACTGCACCTGGAGAGAGGCCACACCTGGTTCTGGGCTTGGCCACGAGATGTCACGCTGGTGAAGAATCATGGAAAGATACTCCCTCAAAGTATCTCTCGGAGTAAGTCCAGACTCCAAAAATCCAAGAGAGCATTGCAAGTGGCTGAAAATCCAAAGTCCATGAATCGGAGAGACAGCATTTCCAAACAACACCAATTGCGCCCTACAATCTTCAAGAATGGCCTCAAGCGGTGGGAAACCCAAAATGAGTTGCAGCTCACGTGGATGCATGTGTCTGGAAACATATGGCCAGCACCCAGATTTGATTTCAATTCCTCTGAGCCCCTTACGCCTGAGCATGTGTGCACTCAGCCCCTGCTTTCGGCAGCCACAGGGGCATGGGTACAAAGCTGATCCCCATGAATGCAAGGCCGTAGGACAAGGTTCAAACATGTTGAGTCGCCTTTCAACAGGCCCAAATGCAGGATCATGATACACTTGCTGTTCCATGGAAGTCCATTTCAACTGCTCTTCTTCATCCAAGCTCCAGGCAGGCCACGGATCCAACGGGAACAAGTCACCCAACACAGGAGCAGGAGAGATGACGGGAAGGTCAGGAAAACCAGTAAACTCAAACTGCCGTGGAGTGACTGTGGCAAACCAACGTGAACGTCTGGCAGGCCAGCATGAATGCAAGTGCAAAACCCTTTGATGGATAACACTGTCAGTCAATTTGGCGTACTCTTGCAAAGCAGCCTGGGTACCATGGTCCGTAAGGGCTTCAGGAACACACTCCAAAACCAACCCCGCAGCCCCCAACGCAAGTGCTGCTCGCAAGACTGCCGGCATTGTGGCACTGCGTTCATCGGCTCCCTTCTGTTGATACCCTTGGCACGACAGAGGCTGGCATGGCACTCCAGCCGATATCAAAGGTTGAACCCCAACTTCGTTCTGCAGCACGTGCATCTGGTACACCGTATCAGGACAACCGATATCTCCCTTGATCACTGGAGCAACATGATTCAAGGCATAGGCGCTGGTTGCAAGCGAAGTCCAATCAACAGCAGACACAGTCCGAAAAGACAAAAAGGACAAAGCTGAAGTGAAACCCCCAAGTCCACAAAGGACGTCGTGATTATACCCCAAGTCCATTATTGTGG